TACTCCCATATAAGGTAACCCGCGTATAAGACGACCCCTGAGTTTGACGTTTTTGGACGAGTTATCTGACGCACATACAAGAAGACCCACTGTTTTCCGATCGTAGCTTACTATTGATATTAGGCCTATACGGTAAAATTCAGATACTTTATCGAAAAAACGGCCCACCCCATCTCGTATTGGCCCAGTGCATCATATTACTGCGTCTATGCAAGTAATATAGGAAAATGCTGACAAACCAAATTGTATTTGCTTCCTTTATTAAACCGTCTAAAACTGTTAAGATATGCACCCCCCCCCCCCTCCTCTCCCGGCTCAGAACGGGATCCGCCTAAGCAAATATAACACTCACATACGATAGGTTGATATTATACCGTACATGTTACGGTATTTGGATTTCTCCGTTCATAAAATAATTGTTAATTTTTGTTTTCAAAGAAAAAATAATGCTGCTAAATAGTTATATCTGGTTTCCAATACTGTAACAATAACAAAATAAAAATAAAACAAATACCAGTGAGTATTGGTTTACCTGATGAAATTTTCAACGGAACATTTAGGCTGCTACTGAATGACCAATCCTTTGAATACAGTAGTTGATTGTGGGAAGCAACGTTCCCTGGGAATTTTCTACTACAGCCATGCTTGACGACGAATTTACTACACGCAAATAAGAAAACTATCACAATCACAACGATATAGTGGTATCAATATGGTAAGCCTACATCTTATTTGAGATATCCTTATCATTTTATTCAAGTTTTTTTTTTATTGCAAAGAAAGGAAAAACATGTAGGCTGCTATAATGATGCGTTAGTTGATCGTGGACATCAACCTTGTCTGGGAATTTTCTACTACAGTCGTGTCGTCTTGAGAACGGGATTTCAAACACGCGATAAGAAATCAATCAAACAACACTAACATACGATAGAATTATATTAATACTGTACATTTTACTTGAGATTTCTCCATCATTTTATTCACGTTTTAACAAAGTAATCAAAAGAAAAGAAAACAAAAACATTTTTAGGCTCAAATCAAATCAAATGTTTCTTTACCTTCTGAAAATTCACTTCTATAGGTAAACAAAATTTGGGGAATAACTTATTAGACAAAAAGTAATCAGATAGTATAATACATACTCCAAGTACAGGAATTGCTGATGATGACATAATTAATGTCGAAATATTGAATCCCGACACGATGACGTGCATATGGATACTTGGCGTATGTATTATACCTGTACTATCTTATCTATCTTATCTGAGATTAATCAGTGGACCTTTCGGTTATTGGAAAAAGTGATCACGTACGTGATCAATCCTTTAAAAATAAAAATAGGTACCTGTACTTTTGGACGTTGGTCCATTGGTATAAGGCTGCCTCCCTCCCCACCCAAATAACCGCAACCTCTTAACTTGTAAAGTAATGCAAAACTTTTTATTTTAATTATTCACTGAAACTAATTAGCTTAGTTACACCTTCAATTACCTTACAGTTTTAAAACTCGATTTTGGAAGAATAATACAGAACATGCAGGTAGGTCTCCTATAGGTCTAGGGTCCTAGTATAATAGACCGCCACAACGGCATGAATACAAATATTTGCTTCGATAGAAATCCACATTCTATACCTGAACTGATGTTGGCCTACATGAAAACATTGTGTAGAAGAATAACGTTTAGGCTACATTGAATTAAGAAGTTTACAAATTTCAGGCGGCCCAAGTTGTCAACGGCCGAAAAAGTCTGATCGATTATGTGGCCGATCACCTTTCAGAAAATGGGTCATTCTCCATTTTTGAAAATGGGCCCGAAAATCTACACTCGTTGTGCCCGATCGTCCACAGGGCCCGACCTTTTATCTCATGGGTCCGATCGTCTGGGCCCGATCCAGTGGCGTTCGATAACTAGGTTGTGAGGGGGCCTGGTTCAAGAGTACACGAGATACTTCGCGCATGCAAATTGATTATGTCAACTAAGATGTGTAGGCCTACCACCGATGGATTGGTTTTAGAGCAGGAGTACTTTTTTCTTATATTTTGACAATAAATATTTTTGGTTTTAAATTGTTAGGCCTATATGTTTTCAGAAGGCATCTTTGAAGAGCTGGCTATTGGTTGGACTGACCATAATAATAAGCATTTCTTCTTTTATGACCAAAAGAAAAAGCACATTGGCGATATTTATTGAATTGATGTTTTTTTTTTTATCAGGTTAACCAACGGTATGTATGACTATGATCATGTTAAACACTTATCCGACAAACACCTTTTAATAATCGTTCACTTAGAAACAAATGCACGAATAAACTTTGAAAATCCAAATCAGACTATTCTTTATCAGTTGGAAACAGATATAAACACGATCCCAAACGTTTGATGATGAAAAGAATAAACAAAAATTCAAACAACATTCATCCAAATTTTGATTGTGAAAATTTTAGCGAATATTTTAGTACATACAGGAGCACACATTAAAAAATCTGGCATGCTTATCTAACCTTGATGTTCATACTTTCGATACTAGGCTATACAATTAGGCTTGCATCACGCTATACCGCGAAATCTTTTATGTTCCAATATGAATAAATCATTAATGAATGGTATGATTATAAACGATTGGAAAGTCTCAATTGACTACCCCCATATACAAAGGTGAAGCCAAACAATTATAGACCAATCTCAGTGATATGCCACATATAGACCTAGTCAAAATTGTTGAAAAAGAAGTCCTAGATCAAATTATTACTCAATGAAAATGACCTTATTAATGTACAATACCTGTATGCTTTTAGGTACCACTCAACTGTTATGCCTTCATCGTTTAATATCTCTTCTTTATGGATGCTGATGCGGATGCAGGATGACGGTAGGGGGTGCATGATCAGAAAGTCCACACCACCTCAGCGCCAGCATGGTTGGGGCTGATGTGGGAACATTAAATTTGAGGATATTAGGTCCCCGGAAATTGCATTCTCATACCTTAAAATCTTACCGGTAATTCATATCAACAATACAACATTTTTTTTTTTTTTTTTTTTTTCAATTTCGGGAGGTTCGATCGCACTGGTATAACACAGGGTAGTGTCTTGGGTCCAATTTTATTTTGGTTATATAAATACTGTAATGATATTTAACAATTGATTTTTCCTGGGACTTGCAATAGGCCTATATTTGCAGATGATGTTGCTATTGTTTCAGGGAAACAAGTTGATGGATTAAATACAAAATTACAAATATTTTAGAAAATATTGGTAAGTGGTATGTCGGAAATGAGTTGAAAATATATGCAGTTAAAAAAAAGTCATGCTAATTAGAATGCAGAATATACTTTCATCTGATGTTCTGAATATTTCGACGGAAAACGTATCGAACAAGTAAAACATGGTATTTATTTGGGTTTGAGATAGTTTATACGAAAACTTAACATGAGATTATCACGACACCGTCTGTAAGCTTCAAGATTCATAACAATTGGCCGAAACATTGCACCAATCTACTTATTACATACCCGTACTCGCGCGAATATTTTTTGCACTTTCTGAGGGGCGCTTATTCAAACGGGACGTCGCTTATTTAAACGGGGCGCTTATGAAAACAGAGTGGAAACTAAGGAGGCGCTTATGGAAATAAATGAAAATCGAGGGGTTCTTATGGGAAATTATTAAATTCAAGAGGCACATTTTGAATGAAAATGACATTACGAATGGTGGTTAGGCGGAAAAGAAATAATCCAGAGAACTGGCTCATGACAAGAATGCATGAATATTTACATAACAGCAAAATAGCAGGTGCAATTAGTGGCGGTGGGTAGTGGTTAGCTTGTTGGCCATCGGCCGAATGAGATTAGCAGGATGGCAGGATCATTGTTTGTTTTTTTGTTTTTTTGGAAAACTCAGATGAGAATGTGGTAAAGGTCGGAAAAAGAAAAAGAGGAGTAGGACTAGGCATAGAAAAATATGTAAAAACTAGTGTAAAGTTGGAAATATACTGTCTGTCCAGGGATCGGAGCTCTCATATGTCAAAAGAGAAATATCCTCATTCTGATATTGACCTAAGAAGAATGTGTTTCCACTCTGCAGCTCAAATCATGCCAACAACCACAGTCCCAGGATTGATTGGATTATTGACTTGCTAAAAAAATAATCTTATGATATTATTCAAATTAGAAGGGGGCGCTTATTCAAACGGGGTGCTTAAGGAAATTTTCTCGTTAGGAGGGGCGGTTATTCGAGAGGGGTGCTTATTCAAAAGGGGCGCTTATTCGCGCGAGTACGGTAAGCACAATCGAACATGTATGGATTACTGTATGCAATTTCTGTTTTGGGAAAAGTTACGCGACTGGGCCCAATCGTTTATCTTGTGGGTGGGCCCGATTAGCTGTCACCCCAAACAAACGGGACAGGATAAAAATTCAAGGGCCACTCTCAGCACAATTTATCAGTATATAGAGTTTCTAAGGACAATGTAACCAAAGGCCTAGGCCTATCCTGATGAAAAAGTCATTTTTTTTACTGTAGACCTATTTATTTATGGGTCTGGGCCTATGATAAATTTTCATAGTAATATGCCTATTTTTGTCTATTTTCGTAAGTCCGTAATTTAACAGAATTTCCGTGGTAACTAGTCCTAGGCTAAGGCTAACTACGGAAGGGGGGGCCCGGACTCCGAACCGGCTTTAGATATCCAAGTCTGATTTTTAGGGCCTGTTTCAGCGCTCGTTCTGCACTACCGCCCACCAAACACCTGTCAAAATCTTATCAGCAAGGTGAAAACCGACTGTTCTATATATATTTTAATAGAAATTTTAAACCCGACGCTGTCCCCTTTTAATAATATTGAACTTTTTTGCGTAGAGTAAAAAAGAGATATATCCTTAATGTATAATATTTCATTCTAGATTCACAAAACCTGAATCCATTGGTACTTGTTTCGATGGACTTTTAAATTAGAGCGCCACCTATGAAGCAACCGTTGTGAATAAAGTGTATGTGTCGTCATTCTACTCCATTTTGGTTGTGAGCGTGGAACCTAATTCGTGTCATCGATCAACATTATTCTGAACAATTCAGGACCAATTCATTCTTAATCGTTACGAATGGTTGTGTTGTTTTAATTATGAAATTAAAGGGATTGATAGCTACAATATGCCTCATTTTGGCGTTCGATAAATCGTTGATTCAAGCATTTTATTTACCAGGCCTGGCACCGGTTAGCTTTTGCGAGAAGGAAACCCAGGATTGCAAGGTACTGTAGGCATAGGCCCTACCCTAGGCCTATGTTTGTTTAGGATGAGGCTAGGCTAGGGCCTAGGGCTTTACAGTCTGGTTCTCCCATTGCTTGTGGTTTTTACAGACACATTTTCGGTTGAGGAAAACCAAATATGGGCATCTAGGCCCTAGGCCAAGCCTAGTAGTAGCAGGATCTTAAAACTTAACATTGCACTGAATTAAATAAAAAAGAATTCAAGAGATTGCAGCTGCAACCTTCAATCAATATACAATGCACCCTCAACATAATAAATAGACACATTCTGCAATGTTTCTTTATGTATAGTGGGTATTAATGTAACACTGAGATATTATTTTGTTCAGTATTGCGCCTGCACATATCTAGCTAGTTGTATCTGGTTCTTGTTATATGTTGAATGCGTATTACGCATTTCTGTGCGTGCATTGGCACTTGCCTCAACCAATTGTAGGTGAAGCGGAGTTGCTGTAGTGTGTTTTGTATAGGCCTGGCCTGTTCTATTGTTCCAAGTGTATCTTTAAACATTATTTTATAGTTCCTGAATCTGAAACAGTATTCACACACTCATTTAATCTGGACGAACCTGTTATTATTACACTGTACGAATCAAGGCTGTTGTAACAGTGAGAGTCGGAAGTTGATTTACATATTCAACCTCATTAATACCAATTCATAATCCACTGTTACATTACTACTATGGAGAATTTACGGTGCTAATGCACTTTCTAGTTCTCCACCCTAACCCAACCAAGGCCAAATAAAATTAATTGATAGTTTCACATGTCCCCGCCCGCGCCAATTTTTGGACCCGCATAAATTTTTTACTATTTTCTTATACTGTATATAACAAAAAATGATCATTTTTCTGTGAAAAAAATGAAATATAATAAAATGAAAAATAAAAAAATAAGTTTTTCGGTGGAAATGCAGCAGTCGCGAAGACGTTTCTATGAATTTACAAACAGCGACTGGATTGTTAAAACTCGCCACTAGCGCTGCACACGTGGTTTGGGGTTTTCGTTGACTTGACAGGTCTCTTGTTTTTTGTGACGCAAGGATGGTAGACAACGGAAGAATATGTTTCTTATTCTTCCAAAGGTACAACAACTATAATTGTCAAAGCAGGCCTTGCCTTTTAAGGCGTGCGAGCACAATCGCGCGCTACAGCGCTTCTCAAGCCACCACAAGGAGCGCGAAATATCGCGCATCTACCGTATATTCCGGTGTATAAGCCGCAAATTTTCTATGCGATATTCCCTCCGAAGTTTAGGGTAGGGCCTATACACCAGTCATTAACCTACTCACAAAAAGTTTAGATCGCGGGCCGCGGCGAAAATCAGGCGCCGTCTGTCTAGCTTGGGCCCAAGCTAGCCCAATTAATTCGCCTAGGGTAGGACCGGTTTAAAGGCCTAGTATTTGTAATTATACTCACTACAGTGCTGTACTAGGATTCCTACTACATTTTCCACGACATTCAAGCAATGGTTTGGGTCATCTAAATTTTCATAATTTTTCAATTGTGAAACATGCTGTTTCTGTTCGAAACCGCTTCGTTCAAAACAATAACAAACTACTTTTCGGGAATTTTCTGTTTTCGAAGTCACATGAGCAGCTTGATTTATGATGTCGCAACATAACACACATGGGCCGGGGTGAAACTTGCTGTTCGACGTCTGGCTCCCGGTGGCTTGTACCGTTATAGAGAGAATATTGATACCGCTATAATTTTAGAATAAAAACTTGTGAAATTAATTTATGCTATAAAAACACGAGTTTTCTTGAAGTTGTAATAATTATTTTACTGGAAAATAATTGAAGAAAGGCATACGTCATCTGTGCATGCGTAAACTTTGTATCACAAGATATTTCTCAAGTTCTGCTTTGTTTATAAAACGTGGTGCGTGATGATGCATACTTCGTACAGTGGGCTGTGAGTAGTAATGACTTAGGCATAGTATTACCAATATTTTTAGCCTAATACCGACGGTTATTAGTCACCATAATGATAGAATGATTATTTAAAATATATAAATATACTCAATAAGTATTTCATTTTATTAGACTTCATTGATGTTTACAATTTTACGTAGCACGACCGTCTAGCAAGAAATGGGGATTTCCCTAGAGCTGCCTAGTGCAAGAATACGTTGTTTCATTGCGGTAGCCAGAAGTTTACACGCATTTCCAGTTGTTTGTTGTTTAATAATCGGCCAAAAAAAGATGGAAATTTCTTTATGTGAACATTTGTAAATAATGTCACTGTTTCAAAATAATTAAAAAGCTAACATTATACTGTAGGAACGGTTTGGAGCTTAAAAATAGGTGACCTGGATGAATATTTTAACATGCATCTTAAAAATTTTGTCATTGGTGGGAAGCCATTTTTTTCCTGAAAGCTCGCCTAAAAAGCACAAGAAGAGCAATTTGAAGTACTCAAACAGCTCGCTAAAAAATATCAAGGAGAGTGGTTTGTAACTCGCCTACGATTTTTAAAAGGCCAGGCCTGAATGCATATGGTGGTTTAAGCATGTGGGCCAAGGATGTCTACCTATACCAACATTGACAACAAGGCATTGACTTTTCATCATGAAAGATACGAGGTGAGTCAACCGTCTGGCGATCATCCATCCGTACTGCTGTGTAGGTCAGGCCTAGCCTACCTAGATTGACACTGTACGGGTGAGCAAAGTACCGTATTCATAATTTAGTACCGTCGTGGATTCGGCTTAGCAAATACAGTACTACAGTATATGTGGTGTGGTAGATCAGTGTAGATATACTGTATCCAGATGTTTGGACCCTGCCAATTAATGGAGTAGGCCTAGGCCTATTCTACAGTAATTTCTACATTTCTCTAGTTATACACACTAGCCTATGACTCAAATAGTGTTTCATCAGAATAGTTTTTCATCAGGCTAACAAGTATAGTAGCCAAGATGTACAGACCTGCTGTACACAGCCCTACTGTATGCTAGCTGCAAGCTAGTTTGAGTATGATGACATTGATTGATGTGATATATACCACACTTGTACTTGGCCTACTGAGCTGCTACTACTGTACTAATAACTACTATGTAGTGCTGTGTGGAAGGCTATAAAGATATACAGTGATAATCATATTCATACCAAGTCAAGCTGTATGTCTTTGTTTAATATTGTATAATATTGTTTGAACATAAAATATTTGTATAGGTGTAATTTTGCCCTACCTGACGTGGAAATGTACCGAATACTCAGTACAGTTGAAAACAACTGCAAAAAAAATCGCAAGTTGTTCTCGGGTGGGACTCGAACCCCCTCTAGACCACCGAGCTTGCACCTGATGGCCAGGGTTGAATTCGAGTCCAAGTAAGCAGCGTTTACTGCAGTGTTGATAGTAATTGTTATTGTCGTGATGGAATAATAGACAATAACTGGATTTGCGTCAGGAGAAACATGTATAGGTGTAATTTTGCCCTACCTGACGTGGAAATGTACCCAATACTCAGTACAGTTGAAAACATAAAATATTAACAGTTTGTTTTTTTGGTTTTTTTTCAGCTGTAGACAAAGAAAAGGAAGCACCACCACCTGCTATCAAGAATGATGATGTACAGTATCAATGACATGCCAATTTCTGCAGTTTGGCACCCTTGTCTGCATCATTTTTTAACTCACTGCAACTTTTGTACTAAGTATTTTAATAAGTACAGTAGAAACCCTCATTTACAAACCCCGATTTAACAAATTCCCGATTTTACGAACGTAAAATAAAGGTGACGTTATAAAAATTTAAGTGCAAGATAAAAAAAAAATCCGCTCGAATTGTAACTGTTATTTGCATGCATACAACACAACACACCATACTATACAGTACTATGTAATTCTCAAGTGAAGGAGGCCCTCTAACGGGCCTCTTCAAAGTCAGTGTTTTTTATGGCTTCACACATGTGTATGCGACAAATTTTACTTCTCTTTCAAACATCGTTTTCAGCTTTAAAATTCAACGTAGTGCTTGATTGTTTTATTGAATGATTAATATATACTGTATAATAAACAAGTATCTATGGAAGTTGTGTTGGAGTAAAATCCACATCTAGGTATTTAAGAAGGTAAAAATGTCCGATAAAAACAAATTTATGTAGGGCCTAGAGTGGGATCAGAATGCTTAGAAGCTGCCTACTGTAGGCCTAGGCCCCCTCAGACTTAGTTGCGTACTGTAGGCCTAGCCTAGGCCAGTGTAAGTAGTACCAGTGCAAATATATAAGAATTTGGGTTAAAATAATAATTTTAATCAATAACTGTATTTTATGAAATATTCTTTATAGTTTAAATCCTTTAAAAACAATAATTGAAATGTTTATGAAAATAAAAGTGTTACAATACAATGTAGAGTGGTTGTTTCTGCTTTAATTATTGAATGCCGTGTTTTTTCATTTTCATTTCCTTTCATCGAAAAAATAGCAAATAATAATATTTAATAATATATATTTATGCATTAAACTTCTTAGTTAGAATTTCTTTTTAAATATTTATTATTTTTCATTATTGTCACTTTAGTTATCATTTGATTAGATTTTTTAGTATGCTATTATTTGTATATTTCGGGAACAGATTCCGTAGGATATTTCTGATAAATTACTTCTGTGTTCATTATAATTTTGTCTAAAGATCAATTGGTTCGACTATAAAGCTAAGGCAGCGTAAAACTGAAAATTACTCTGATTTTGGATTCAATTTTTGAATAGTTAACCCTTGTTAACCCTAAAATGACTTAGTTTATTATAATCTTCCATCATTTCTAATTAATATCATTGTGGAAATGATTGCGCAGCCATAGTGATTGATTGTAAGTAGTGTGCATTGAGAAAATAACATGCTCTCCATTTTGCCATGTTCAATGGCGTAATCTAAGCCTGCTGAGCATTATAAAGTAAAATGGTGAATGCGAACATGAATGATAAAAATCATATCATATTATACAGAGGTTCTTATACTACTGATCACTGTAACATTTTACAATACAGTATTGTATAACCTCAGAACAACTGAAACTAAAAGAAATACAAGGTTAAGAGAAGTACTGTACAGTAAAATATTTACAGTACATCTCTTATCCCCCACCCCCTCTGTCACTTTTTCTAGGATCTTTTTTCCAAAGATAAATGCGCTAGCCCTAAATTTACTCAGCGACTACTAATTTGATTTAAAGTATTGTATCATGTTTGACTTTTTTGATTTGTTTAATTAATTTCAGAATCTGATCAAGATGTTTGTAAATCGATTAGACTCTGTGGAGAGTGTTATACCCTATGAATATGATAAGTATGTTTGAATTTTTAATATTTGTGAATTTTTTTATCTAGACAGTGACCAAGGATTACCAATGGAGGACTTAATCACTTTCTTCCTTAAGTAGAAATCTCATTCACATAAAAAAAAAAACCATGATTCACATGATGTTTGTTTATCACTAAATCTCATTTATGAGATTTGAGGAGTAGAGTAGTTTTTGTTATGAGTGAAAATTAACTCACTTGACTGTCTATTTTCAACAATGATTAATTTATACTGTTTACTGTTTAACAAAAATTGTACAAGACCAACCTTAAATCAATACCATATTTTATTCAGCTTAACCAAATAAAATAAAATTAACGCTTGTAAAATTGGTGTCTACTCGAAAACAGTTCTGTGTTGGCCTTATATCATTGCTTGCCCACTCATTATTGAGTAGATGAGCTAGAAATTATTGTATGCTCACCATTCATCAGTGGTGTTTTAGACATGAAATATGTATTGAATAAATAATTGATTGGGTTTTTTCATTGTTTTTCAAATTGTGTAGGTTTGATCTGTGCCAGCTATCTACAGAGTTCAGTCCAGTGGAGAATCTGGGTCAAGTGGTTTTTGGAGAGCGTATCCACTCGTCTCCTTATAATTTTACTTTCAAATTGAATCAGGAATGCTTCAATGTCTGCACAAAGCAGTATGACTTGAAGAACCAAGAGGATAAGAAAAAACTTAACTTCTTGAAGAAGGGTATTATGTTGAACTATCATCAACATTGGTATGTATGTCTTTATTTGAGCAATTTTTTGTATTTTGCTGTATAATCAAGTTTTTTTATAAATTTGATTCTTAAAATGTTCATTGCTTACCGCAAAAATAATAGAAGAGTCCTGTCAGCACATATCTTTTTATCTTCCTTGTTTCTTTTTTGATGAGTGTTCTGTTTTCTAAAATTTAATAGTTTATCCAGGTAAGCACCTCATTCAAGGACTATAGGTTTACACCTTTTCGTGAAGTTGAACATCATTGGATTTATTTTTATCTTTATTTTATTCAGGTAGAAAAACATAAAAAACAGTAAGCAGTACAACATTGAAATGAAATGACACAACAATTCAAATATAATCTAAAAAATACAATAACATATTAACAATTCAATTCAATGTACAATTAAATTTTAAGAGAACTATACAATATTAAATTTTATGAAAGTAAATCTAACCTTTAATTGGTTTTGTAGTTTTGAACAATTTGCATTAATTTCTCTGCCGTGTTAGATAGAAGTGAACAATCTTAATAGTTTTAATTGTTTTTATATATCATAAGGCATATACCCTGTTTAGCAAATCCGCCACCTGCCAATAATGGTGATTTGAAATAAAAATTTTATTTTTGGCCAATAAGCACGCCACGAAAAAATAAAAATTTCCGAAAAAAAAGGTTTATCTTTATTTTTATTAAGCCCGCCACTGCTTTGAAATCTCCAAAAATAAAATATGTATATTTCTTCGAAATGATATTTAAATTTACAGCATTTAACCATCTCATTACTACACTGTTTACACTACATTCACCCAAAAAAAAAATTTTATTTTTTTTCTTTTTCCATCTGGATGTTTTTGGCAAAACTACAGTATTTGCTAAATAAAAATTTATTTTTGTTTTTTTTCCGCCCTTCTGGCTGTCTTTGTTAAACAAGTTATAAAAAAAGTCTCGCCTAATAGCTGAAGTATGAAAGTTTTATAGTTAAAGTTGGGTTTCTTTATTTGATTAAACGTGTGGCATCAAATTGATTTCTTAACTGTATATTAGTCTGCAAGCAAAGAAGTATGAATTGTTTAACTAGCCAAATATTTTATCAAATTTACATAAAATTCACCTAACTTCAATATTCATTGACTGAATTTGTAATGCATTATTTACTTATTTATTCTTATTAAATGATCAGTCTGCTGCCAGAGTTAGTCGCAAACTGTTGCATGTCTGTAACTCTTTACCTAGGAATACCCCGAAGACTTGGCTTAGTCCCAGACTGTATTGTATTTACTGTATTGGTTAATTACTCTTGATTGATAAATTGTTTTACCTGCCCGTTACAACTTTGTATGGCCATTTGTAATCATAGAGTTGTTGTGGTGTTTTTTTTTTTTTTTTCTAACATTAAATTAAATTTGAATATTTAATGTATATTCTGTACCAAGTGATGGATAAGTTTATACTATATAAAGTGAGCAGTTTAGTGCTTTAATTGATTTATTGAAATAAAGCATGAATGTGTATTGTTGCCTACAGGATCATTGACAATATGCCAGTGACGTGGTGTTACGAGGTGGACAATGAGCAAAGTTACTGCGCTCCTGGATTTCCCCTTGGTTGCTATGTCACAAAAGATAACGTTCGCATGGATGCTTGTGTCATAGATGTAAGTTTATTTTACAGTAGGTCCCACCCATTATCCCCTCCTCTGCCCCTACCACCAAAACAATTGGGAGGGAGGGGAGTTGGGGTTGACAACCTGGCTTGTCTAGCCTTTTTGACTTGGGTGGAAAAAGCATGTTGAAATTTAAAGTAAATAACATGTATTGACAGACATGGTACCTATTACTATGTCATTTTGTATGGTGCTGACTATCTAATTAGCCTGAGGAACAATTTCATCCTTATTAATTTCCCTAGAGCATTAGTTTAGTAATCTACTGTAGTCATTTTAGCTCCGATGAGGAGCTCTAGAAACACTTGGCTGATTGATTAATAGATCTTTTTTAGATCTACTGCCTCTATTACACTGCCCTCATGAGGCTGATTGATTAATAGTTGATTTATTATAGGTTTTTTTTACCTCTACTGCCTCTATTATACTGCCCTCATGAGGAGCTCTAGAAACACTTAGCTGATTAATAGATGATTTTTAGCTAAACTGCCTGTATTGCTGCCTTCATTGGAGCTTTTGAGATTACGAGAACTTTTTTATGAAGCCTTTCAGGGCGCTTGTAATTAATATTTCTTCAGTGATTTTCACACCATATTATTGTTACTATTTTTCCCCTTCATACTTCTCATGTATGGAAGTGCAGACAATGTATTTTTTGTACGCTCAACTTTGTAATAAGTAAAAGTGAAAGTGAGTTGTCTTCATTTCAGGTGACGTATGGTACAGCAGACACATTATACGTGTTCAATCATGTGGACATTGTGATTGGCTACCACACTCTGGAAGAAGACGCACAGGACGCATCTAGACTTGTATCAGCTAAAGTTATACCCAGAAGGTAGTAATAACAATTTATAATTAGAATACTTTATTAACAAGTAATAATTTTGATCTTTAGGAATTATAATGCATTAATAACTGGTAATAAATTTTAACAGTTTAAGAATAATAACAGTAACTTAAAGGATTTTCAATTGTAGGTCTTTTTGTCCTCTGTTTAAATTCCATCAGAGTTCTCTCATAAATAAAGGTTATTGGACATCATCTTCAGAAGTGATGCTTAAACCATTTGTTTAAACATCAGTCTTTTTGTTCTCTATTTTGCATGATTTTATCCAGCTATCACCGTTTTCGATGTTATACACATTTAACATGTTACATTTTTGTAGTATATTTTGGATTGCATATGGCCATTTCCATCTTACAACATTTTGTACTTGCAGGATTGCTTTCAATAGTAACCTAGGCCATCTCTTTTCTTCCATATTTTTTAACCTGTCTAAAATTATTTTGGATGGAGTCTATGGATTGCCAGCCTAAATCCCCATATAAAACTTCTTTTGCAACATTACGGTCATTATTATCTAAAACTTCGTCCGGATTATAAAATTTTCTATTCGAAAAATAACTGTTGTATGATATTTTTTAGTCATGTGCCTGTATATGGTCATCAACATGTGATGTTGTCATTACCATGTTTAGGCATGTTTTTGTTCAATGAAATTTGATGGCTTTAAGAATAAGTAGCAGTATTGCTATTTGTCTCTAGCTTCAAGCATCCAAGGCCTGGAGTCTGCTCTGGTGATGACATGGAGCCCCTGGCCATCAAGATGAAGCTGGATGAGAATCCAGATAAGCTCTCTGTCAGTTACAGCTACTCTGTTAGGTTTGTGGTAAGTAAACCTATGACCACACTTTTTTTAACCATATTTATTATAGAAGGTGACCCTTCCAGCATATCCTAGAAGGTTGGCTGGTATTCAGACGCCCTCTTAAATATATGAAATAACGAGATGATTTCATCAGTGAAGTCTCTTAGGGAGTGGAGTTGTTTTAGTTGTGAGAAAAAGTCCTGTTGTTACAGGATGGAACCTAGGACCCAGGGATTAGAAGGCATTTTAACCACCAAGCTATTGAACTTCACTTTTTGACATTACACTATACAGCTTCATATGTAATTTTGTTTATAGACTAGTCATGGAGGTTTAAATTTAAAGGATTCAGTCAGATTGATACAGAGAACTCATACTTCGGTTCTGTTAGTTTTAGAAATGTAATGTAGTTTATTGTTATTATTTAGAATGTTGATACTGGACAAAGTTAATGTTCAAATTATTAATTTTTTTGGCATTACAGGAACAAAAGGCTACCCGCTGGGCATCCCGTTGGGATTATATCCTGGAGTCGATGCCGCACAGTAACATCCAGTGGTTCAGTATCATGAACTCTTTGGTTATTGTTCTCTTCCTGTCTGGAATGGTGGCCATGATCATGCTACGGACCCTGCACAAGGACATAACTCGCTATAATCAAATGGACACGGTAATTATCCATATAGATGCTAGTTATTAAGATATACTGTCTTATCAAGTTCAAAGTAAATACTACGTTATGGTAATACATGCAAAAACACTGTAAATAATCTAATAACATCCACTGTATTTATCAAACTCTAGATGCTTCAGTACGGTGCTTATTTGAGAGAAATGGTTATCAAACATTTTTGCAGTGTTAAAATTGTATCACTTGTTGCACATAGAAATATCTGACTTGTTTTGCAGTGTTACTGTAGTATAATTTGTTTTGTTTATAGTCGCTTGATACAAAATATCAAAGGACATATGTGCTTTTGTTTTTAAAAAGTAGAATGTGTGCTTATTCAAGCTCTTGTTCAGGAGAGGAATATACACATACAGTAGAATGCCTATAAATGGGACACCTTTGGGACCAAAAAAGTGTTCCCTTAATAGGGTGTCCCCTGATTATGGGTTGGCCGTGGTGTTAACAGATGATGCTGGCCAGAAAAGTGTCTGCTTAACAGAGGTGTCCCAATGGAGGGTTTCTGCTGTATTTATTATTTTTTATCTTCCCTTTTTCCTGTAGGAAGAAGCTCAAGAGGAGTTTGGCTGGAAGCTGGTGCATGGAGATGTCTTCCGACCACCTCGTCGAGGCATGCTACTGTCTGTGTTCTTGGGCAGTGGAATGCAGATATTTGTGATGACATTCATTACATTGAGTGAGTTCTACGTATAATTTATATTACTTGAAACATTTACAATATTATTGGTCAAGGTGGTAGCATTGGAACAAGTGTGCTAAATGGTAAGAATTAGAAGATTATAATATCCCACCATTGTTGTAACTCAGGGATAGAATTCTCCTTTAGTAAAAAACTCTCTTATTTATATTATTAATATCAATATGGTATATTTGATAACTTTGAAATCAGTGCCAAAGAAATATTTCAATAACTTATTACTGTCACAAGTGTTAATCTGGCGTGCATCTCATAGTACTTATAAACAAGTCTATATTCCACGATAGTTTAACGCAAATTGCTATTGCCTCTTTGCGCTTTAAAACAAGGCTAAGTATAAATAACTATTATTCCACGATAGCTCAACGCACATTGCTATTGCCTCCTTGCACTTCATAAGTAAGTGTGCTATTCCTTCACAGTTCAACAATAAACCTCTCCATGCTATCGCACTAATTTCTGCGACTGGCAAATAAATATATGCCTATATTTGGGTGTAATATGACATCATATGTGTTGCCCCATATCTCGATACCATAAATCAGATTAGGTAATATAAAGGAATTATAAAGCATAATCAATGTTTCCTTGGGACAAAGTGCCGCAACTTAAATAAAATTTTTTTAATTTTTTTATTGTTTACGTAAACAGAATTACATTCAGAGATTAAACTTGAATCAATTTTAAGAGAACCAGATGTAGTAAAACTTTCATTTTTTGACTGAAAGAGTATGTAGTTTGTTTTATCTGCATTTATTGTTAATTTGTTGGCATTGCACCATTCTATGACATATGGGCATATCTTACAAATTTGACACATAAAATAATGTGGATAGAGCATTTAGCTTTGTGTCGCAATACTCCCTTCTGAAAAGCAACAATAAACTGACTGTTTTTATTTTCTCATTGTATATTTGTATATACTCGCCTCCAAATAGTGTAATAACCAAGAATGTTAACAGTTACATACAAACCTGATATGACACTAAATTCTGTAGTTATTTTCTTGCATAGTCTTCGCCTGTCTTGGGTTCCTGTCTCCTGCAAATCGTGGAGCCCTGATGACCTGTGTCCTCGTCCTTTATGTGCTTTTAGGAACACCCGCTGGTTATGTGTCAGCCAGGATATATAAAAGTAAGTGTACTTTGAATGGAAGCAGGAAAATATATTAACAATAGGCTTATTGGTTAATTTATTATTTTAATATGCCAATCCGTAGTTTGAACTGCGTATGCCCATATCCAAGGTCAGTTAACATAAACCTATATTGTGTATAATTGTGTCGATTGACATTGATATGGGCATGCACAGTTCGAACTACGAATTAGGTAAATTGAATGAGAAGGATTAATTACAATGTAAACAAACTTCTATTTAAAATTATAACTTCCGTGATAAAATCAAATTAAATTTAAAACTACATTTTATATTATTTATTAAATTTATATATCAATAATAATATGACAATTTTGTTTAATTCGTGAACATATTTTGCTAATTTAGATTCAAATAAATACATTCACTTGTGTATAACAATAGTATCCAATCACAAGCATGAACAGTTGAGGATGTTTACTACTATATTATTTACATAATGGGATATTTGTTTGCAGCTTTTGGTGGTGAGAAGTGGAAGTCCAATGTAATTCTAACTGCCTTCCTCATCCCAAGCGTTGTTTTTGCTGTGTTCTTCATCATGAATCTTGTCCTGTGGATTTATGGTAGTTCAGCAGCAATCCCCTTCACTACGTTGGTGGCACTGCTTGCCCTGTGGTTCTGTGTGTCTACTCCACTAACATTTTTCGGAGCATATTTTGGTTATAAGAACAGAGTGAGTGATGATAAAAATTTGTTTTAAGCCAATTTCTGGTTTTCTTTTTACATTGCTATATAACTTTTTTACATGTAAGGTTGTTAGGTACACTGTCAAGATACATAGTGCAACTATGACATAACTAGAATTGTTGATAGTTAATTATGTGTTAGTGGAAATGTGTACAAACTGTTAAACAAATTGTTTTTATACAAAAAAATATTTGGTGCATCAATTGTAAACATAAAAATATATTTAATATTATCATCTATGTGTACACACTCACAAATTCATACCTAAATGTTAAATATATCTGAAATATGTTCTGGCTTTTCTAACACAGTGATACTTCATATGGAGATATACAGTATAATATATTGTAGGGGCCTACCATTTTGATTCAAACTGAGAATTCTTAAATTTGAGCCTTCCAAATCGTTCATCTTTGTTTTCACGTCTGTTCTAATTGACTTATTCTGAAGAAATATATTTTTACATTTTTTTAGCCAATCGAGGTGCCAGTACGAACAAACCAGATTCCACGCCAGATCCCAGAACAGTCTTTCTACACGCGTCCCCTCCCTGGTATTGTGATGGGAGGCATTTTGCCATTTGGATGCATTTTCATTCAGCTGTTTTTCATTCTTAATAGTATATGGTATGTTGTTGTTGTTCTTGATTATTAATAAATCTGTGAATGCTCTATCCACATTATCAAATTATTCAGTGGTCTGTGACTTGCCTATATAATGATTTGTTTTGCACAAATTTTATTTTAATTATAATATTTAGTTAATTTTTTTTCTTTGAATTTAATGACTGGTTATTTTCCTCTACAGGTCTCATCAATTCTACTATATGTTTGGCTTTCTGTTTGTGGTTGCCCTTATTCTAGTCATCACATGCTCAGAAGCTACAATATTGCTGTGTTATTTCCATCTTTGTGCAGAGGTATGTAATCTAGAGTACACATATTTATTGTTTCACTACCACTGTGTTTACTTTGCCAACTGTTATGCTTTGCTTTTGTATTTAATGAAAGTTAATAAAGTCCATTTGTATTTTGTCAGTACGTTAGCACCAGTTTCATTCCCTCCCTGTGTATAAAGTAAATTCTTTGGTCCTACTAGAATCTATAAAATTTGGGCTTGTCCCCTAGGGACAATATGACATCGTCCCTGGGACTGATTTTGGCAGTACACTTTGGAAATATTCATAGCTCTTTATGTGAATCATGTTGTACATAGGACAAATGCACTTTCATTTATCAATAGTCATACTGATTTGTTTTTTGTCGTCTTTTTAGGATTACCATTGGTGGTGGCGCTCTTTCTTGACCAGCGGCTTCACAGCCTTTTACTTCGGAATCTACTGCGTACATTATTTTATTTCCAAGCTTCAAATTGTAGGTGGCGCCAGTACTTTACTGTACTTCGGATACACATTTATTATGGTCCTACTTTTCTTTTTATTCTGTGGTGAGTCAAAGAAAATTTTTATAATAGAAACAACAGAGTAGAAGATGCTAATATACAGATATTTAAAGACTTAAGTCATTTCTTGTGGAACCTATTAACAGCCGTGCATAAAATTGCATTCTAAATTGTAGTGACACTACCTCACAAAGATTTGTCACTGTCATGAGTATAACATTATTGACACCTACAGTCTTAGTTTATACATGTCTTAATTCAGAATATGTAAAGGTGCATGGTAAACAAAATGCACAAAGCTGGTTTCCACAGAAAATATTATCTATGCATCGCAGTTTTGTTTTTTATAAATAAGTTACTCAGGTGTTAGATGGAAGAATCAAAATTCAACCTTTTTGTTTTTAATAGGAACTGTTGGTTTCTTCTCTTGCCTGTGGTTTGTGATCAAGATCTACAGTGTTGTCAAAGTAGATTGACAGAAGAAAACAGCAACTAAGCTGGTCAAGACACTTGATCCTGTAATGGTTGCCCAATGTCAAGAAGAAAGGAAGATAAATATTTTTGAAAGTGATGTTTGAATGTTCCTTACTTTTGTTTCTTTTTTTCCTGAACTATTGTATGTTCTTTGCAGGTCTGGTAATGATCACGTTTATAGTTTTCGTCATTGTTTTTCTTAATTTCTTTTTCTCACTGAGTGAAACTGCACCTGAGTCTTGATTGTTACTTAACAGTCCATGAGTAATTATGAGTGCCTTGTAGGGTATACTATTATGGCCATAGTTAAACAGGAGGTTGGTAAATGACATGATTATATTAAGACCTGCAAACAACAGTAATGGAATGCATTCACATATGATGCCAATTTGGCTGATTTTCCAAAGAAGCGAATGTTAATATAATTATTTTTGCTGTTACATGTTATATTATTGTTATTGTTCATAATTTTATTTACTATTTTCTTTTACTAAAAGATGATTCAGACATTGAGTCGTACAACACAGCTTGACGCGATTTCTTGTTGTTTCTGGTCTTTGTGAGTTAAACACAGACGTGGTAGGTCAGCATCAGGACAGTCTTGTCATTGAACATGTTTAATATTCTCACGACAACCTCAATAAATCGCGGCAGGCTGCGTCGTATGACACTGTGTTGGCCTTAATACATCATCATTTATAACATATTTTTAAGGCTGCAATGGAAAAAACGTAATAATAACAATCTGCAAGATATAATTTGAGTGTATAATATAATCAATTTTATAATCAGCATTTATATTGCTGTTTTCATTTACCCCATATTTTCAGTGCTGCCTTGAAAGAAATAAAAAGCCTGCAACTTCTGATAATCATGTTAAATTACAATTTGTTAACTCCATATCCTTGTCATCATTTTCAGTATCTATTACTTGCAGTATATTCATTGGTGCTTTAAATACCAATTAGCACTTGGGAACAAAATATAAAATAAAATGACAAATTAATTTTTTTTTTTTTAATGTTTGGAACTGGTAAAACAAATTAATGGGGTTTTTTTTCCAAATTTTTGCAGACTTTGCAATAAATGATAATTTAAAATCTGAACAGTGAAATTCTAATGGATTTGAAAATTTTTTGATTAAAAAATCAATAATTATATGAAATATCTGTAAATATATGCGTGATTTAGGATATTAATAATAGCTTGCACTTCAGTAATAAAAACGTTCAGCATTTATATAGTGTCTTTAACAATCTGAAGACTTTTTTGCCAAAGTGCTTATGGGGTTATTGCCAATGTCATTGTAACAACTCTACTACCCGAACAGTAGTCAGAATCTTGCACATTCACTTTCATCCCAACCAAGGCCCTGGAAGTCATTTCAAGTAAGGGGAAGGTGGTTTGGTGCAGCAATTTCTATTCAGGTATGGGCTGTAGCGGTCTTTCTTTGCATCATTAACCAATTTTTTTTGTTTTTAATATATTACAGGGGAACTAACACTAGGGCCAACCTCTATTCAGGAAACAGCCAGTTGAGTGCTCACTTTATTAGTTCTGAAAGTGTGACATAAGGGGTGTACTACTGTAATTCCTATCTTGCAGTAGTTCCTAATAAGAGACATGTTGAGTATTGTTGAGAATGAACCTTTCCAGAGTCTCAATCAAATTTAACAACTGACCAATGATAACAGGGCCTGGAATACCCGTGTATCTAACAATCACATGTGTTGTCCCACCAATGCATGTGTTTGCGTAAGTTGTAACACTATTTTGTGGTTCCTTAGCAACAATATCCAAAGTCCGTTTAAAATGTTTTAATTTTTGTTTTTTTCCTTGGAAAAAGGAAGTAGAAACACTGGATATAATATCTATAGTTTTTCCGATTTTTTTTTAATACTAAATATTGCTCAATTTTTAGATTTGATTCTTCAGTACCTAAAATGTGATTTTGTTTTTTTAACTACTATTATTGTGGGTTTAAAGGTCACATTTATTAGCAATAATAAGATAGTGAAAATAGGTTAATATATATTGAATATTATAACATTGACATGCATTTTTTTTTTCGGTGTGGGTTTTTTTATTAGATTATTTGAGTTGTTCATATTCCATTTTCAAATAAACATTTTTTACTTCATGTACATTATACAAAATTATGTTTCTTGAATAGTATATTCAATTTTGTCTAATAGTTAATTTGATAAAAGTTGTATATGATGGTTTGGATACATTGTATTGTCTGCTAGGCTTATCCTAAAAATCTTCTATATGAATACAATCTACAAATATAAGCTGCAAACCACTTAGGCCACCCTTAACGCAACACCACTAAAAGTTGTTTTCATTTGAAAGTGTGCAGCCAAGACCAATGACAAAAATTCTTTCTGCCCTGGGTTTGACTGCTGAAATACATGAATGCCAATGTGTCATTGTGTAACAGAATAACATATAAAATTTTAAATAAATAAGTTTAAGTAAAACTAATTTTCATGTTTAATTATATGACGATTATCTAATGCATATATTTATCTATAAGGCCAAATTTTATATTTATAAAAACATTTTCTTTGTCCCCTCATCACTTTTTTTTTAATACAAAGGAAATTTTGAAGAAATCTTTGTAAGCATTGACTTTGTATGAGCTGTTGATGACATGTTCTTAGGCCTAGCATTGATCCTAGATGTACCAATGTGTGCGTGCTGGCCATAAGTTTTTGAAAATATAAGAAAAGTAAATGTTCTCTTAAAGAAAATTGGACAAAAAGCATGTTTTTATATATATATGATATGTATGTATATATATGTATATATATATACACTTTATACATATATATATATTTATATATTGTATATATATTATGTGTATATGAATATATATATGTATGTATTATTATGTCCTTTATTCGAACACTGTATTTACCTTTCTTCGATGATTTATATATATGTATGTGTAT